CCGCCCTATCTCCATACATCGTCCAACCGCGCGAGCTACATCTCCGATGCGAGTCCCACGGTTCTGACCGCTTCCCCGGATGCATTCGGTAGCTCTGGTGCCGCAGAGTCCCCCATTGAGAAATCGGAGAAACTGCGATGGTCACACGCCTCCGCGGAACAGCGGATGGACCCTTCTTTGGGCGATGAGGAGAATTCTTCTGTCTGACCGCGCAGGGTCCCAGGATCCCTACTATGTGAGCATTCCGGGGAATGAGATACAGGCGAGACCACCACGGTATATAACTCCTCTTGGCCCTTTGCCCTATTTACATAATGATGTTCATGCCCACTATATAATACCTCTTCGCCGCGCAAGGCAGCGGCTTGTTTGTACTGTACTGTTAGCGAATGGAACCCCGTGATTTTGTCAGCGCGCATGATATGATTCCCGTAAGGAAGGTCTTCTGACCCGATGCCGATCAAGTTTGTCGCTCTGGATCTGGGGTAAAACCGAGACTAGGCTTTCTTATTTGTAGATCCTCTGACCAGCAGGGCTGTCCAGCCGCCCTGGAGTGCTCCGCGTGCCTTGCCTGCATTTGATGTCATTGGGTCCACGTGCCCTCCCGCAAAAACCCGGCCCGGGAAATGCTCATAGCCGGGTGTGGCGGTGCAACTGCTTAACCGCAACCGGGAAGTCCGGCCCGCCACCGCTGGGCATCGCTGGGCATCGCCGCGAATTCCCTCGGTCCGCAGAGAGGACGGACAAAGCGGGATGAGTCAGCTGTGGCTGCACTTGCAAAAGGCATCAGCCACAGCTGCGCTGGCCGTCATAGCCGTACCTCCGTACTATTCTCGGCAAACCTCTGCCTTGCCTGGCTGCTGCTGCCAGTTCCAGTTCCCTCCCATCCCATTCTCCGTTCCCATCTCCTCTCTCCCATTACTACTACTCTCTACTCCACCCTACCTTCAAACACCTAGAGGCTTCCCCTCTTGAACCCCTTTTGTTTATTGAGAGTGTGTTCACTCTCTGATGAGTCCCGTTTCTGTTCAGGTGCTACGGCAACAATAGTCGACACCTGCTTTCGATCCTAGAAACGCTTCGTCTCCCAGCGTGCGTGTTCCTTTGGTCCGCCAGAAAAAAATCCCGCAGAGATGACCGCAACATGAAGCTCTAACTAACATACCAATTGACGCGTCAACAGATCAAGCAGCTCCCTCTCCACAACCTCTATCTGTCTTTTTATCATCTCAAGCTGGTCGCAAAACGCATTAGAAAAAATTCCCGCCATGTTTCGCTCCACAGCCGTCAAGGCCGCTAACAGCGGTTTGCGCTCCGCCTGCACAAGATCCATCTCCCTCGCTTCCAGCGCCAGAAATGTGTCTTTCCGCAGCTCAAAACTCGGCTTGACCACCCGCCGTCCTCTGGCGGTGGTCAACAGCAAACGTTACTACGCCCAGTCCGCCGAGGGCGTCGACGCCAACGATTCTTTCCTCTCTGGAAACACCGCCAACTATGTCGATGAGATGTACCTGGCATGGAAGAACGACCCCTCCAGCGTTCACATCTCATGGCAAACGTATTTCAAGAACATGGAGGAGGGCAAGATGCCCGTTTCGCAGGCTTTCCAGCCTCCTCCCACGCTCGTTCCCACCCCTACGGGCGGTGTCCCTCAAAACATGCCCGGTGAGGGTCTTAGCTTCGCCGCTGGTACCGATGTCACGAATCACTTGAAGGTTCAGCTTTTGGTACGTGCCTACCAGGCTCGTGGTCACCACAAGGCCAAGATTGATCCTCTTGGTATCCGTGGTGAGGCCGAGGCTTTCGGCTACAACAAGCCCAAGGAGCTCGAGCTCGATCATTACGGTTTCACTGAGCGTGATCTCGACGAGGAGTTCACTCTTGGCCCCGGTATCCTGCCCCGCTTCGCGACTGAGAGCCGCAAGAAGATGACTCTGCGCGAGATCATCGCTACCTGCGAGAAGATCTACTGCGGATCTTACGGTGTTGAATACATCCACATCCCCGACCGTAAGCCTTGCGACTGGATTCGTGACCGCTTCGAGGTCCCCGAGCCCTACAAGTACTCCGTCGATGACAAGCGCCGTATCCTCGACCGCTTGATCTGGTCTCACAGCTTCGAGTCCTTCCTTGCCACCAAGTTCCCCAACGACAAGCGTTTCGGTCTGGAGGGTTGCGAAACCCTGGTGCCCGGTATGAAGGCCTTGATCGACCGCAGTGTCGATTACGGTATCAAGGACATCGTCATCGGTATGCCCCACCGTGGTCGTCTGAACGTCCTCTCCAACGTCGTCCGTAAACCCAACGAGTCCATCTTCAGCGAGTTCGCTGGTTCCACCGAGCCGTCCGACGAGGGCTCCGGTGATGTCAAGTACCACCTGGGTATGAACTTCGAGCGCCCGACCCCCTCGGGTAAGCGCGTGCAGCTTTCTTTGGTCGCCAACCCCTCCCACTTGGAGGCTGAGGACCCCGTCGTTCTCGGAAAGACCCGCTCGATCCAGCACTACAACAAGGACGAGTCCAACTTCGACTCCGCCATGGGTGTCCTCCTCCACGGTGATGCTGCCTTTGCTGGTCAGGGTGTCGTCTACGAGACCATGGGCTTCCACTCCCTCCCTGCCTACTCCACCGGTGGTACCATTCACATCATCGTGAACAACCAGATTGGTTTCACCACCGATCCCCGTTACTCGCGTTCCACCCCCTACTGCTCCGACATCGCCAAGTCCATCGATGCTCCCGTCTTCCACGTCAACGCCGATGATGTTGAGGCTGTCAACTACGTCTGCCAGGTCGCCGCTGACTGGCGCGCCGAGTTCAAGAGCGATGTTGTCATTGACATTGTCTGCTACCGTAAGCAGGGTCACAACGAGACCGATCAGCCCTCCTTCACCCAGCCCCTGATGTACAAGCGCATTGCTCAGCAGAAGGCTCAGCTCGACAAGTACGTCGAGAAGCTCATCGCGGAGGGTACCTTCACCAAGGAGGACATTGACGAGCACAAGAAGTGGGTCTGGGGCATGCTGAACGACAGCTTCGACCGCAGCAAGGACTACCAGCCCACCGGCAAGGAGTGGCTCACGTCTGCCTGGAACGGCTTCAAGACCCCCAAGGAGCTGGCCAACGAGGTTCTGCCTCACCTCCCCACCGGTGTTGACACCTCTCTCCTGCAGCACATTGCGGGCAAGATCAGCGGTGCTCCTGAGGGCTTCACTCTCCACCGCAACCTCAAGCGTATTCTGGCCAACCGCAAGAAGACCGTCGACGAGGGCAAGAACATTGACTGGGCTACTGCTGAGGCTCTTGCCTTCGGCTCTCTCGTGTCTGAGGGCTACCATGTCCGTGTTTCCGGTCAGGACGTTGAGCGTGGTACTTTCTCCCAGCGCCACGCTGTTCTCCACGATCAGGAGAACGAGACTACCTACACCCCTCTCCAGGACGTCTCCGAGAAGCAGGGTAGCTTTGTTATCTCTAACTCCTCCCTCAGTGAATTCGGATGGTAAGTTCTTCTTTTCATATTACAGATTGAAGTCTCCTACTCATGCTAATCGATCTGCAGTCTGGGTTTCGAATACGGTTACTCCCTGACCTCCCCCAACGCTCTTGTCATGTGGGAGGCCCAGTTCGGTGACTTTGCCAACAACGCTCAGGTCATCATCGATCAGTTCATCGCCTCCGGAGAGTCCAAGTGGCTCCAGCGCTCTGGTCTCGTCGTGTCTCTGCCCCACGGTTACGACGGCCAGGGTCCCGAGCACTCTTCCGGTAGAATGGAGCGCTGGCTGCAGCTTTGCAACGAAGAGCCCCGTATCTTCCCCTCTGCGGACAAGCTTGACCGCCAGCACCAGGACTGCAACATGCAGATTGCTTGCATGACCAGCCCTGCCAACCTGTTCCACATCCTGCGTCGCCAGATCCACCGTCAATTCCGCAAGCGTATGTTTTCCCTACCCTCTGTCAACATGTTTCAAGCTGACTCTAGTCACAGCTCTTGTGCTCTTCTTCTCCAAGTCCCTCCTCCGTCACCCCATTGCCCGCTCTGATATCGAGAACTTCACTGGCGAGTCCCACTTCCAGTGGATCATTCCCGATGAGGGCCACGGCAAGGAGATCGATGAGCCCGAGAAGATCGAGCGTGTTATCCTGTGCTCTGGCCAGGTTTATGCTGCTCTTCAGAAGCACCGTGAGGCCAACAACATCCGCAACACCGCCATCACTCGTATTGAGCAGCTGCACCCCTTCCCTTGGGCTCAGCTGAAGGAGAACCTCGACAGCTACCCCAACGCCCGCAACATCGTCTGGTGCCAGGAGGAGCCCCTGAACGCCGGTGCCTGGAGCTACACTCAGCCTCGTATCGAGACTTTGTTGAACCAGACCGAGCACCACAACCGTCGCCACGTCCTCTACGCTGGTCGTGCCCCTAGTGCCTCTGTGGCCACTGGTCTCAAGTCCGTTCACTTGAAGGAGGAGCAGGAGTTCCTCGAGGATGCCTTCAGCGTCCACCAGGAGCGCCTGAAGGGCGAGTAGAGTGTTTTTTGGGACAGATTTTCTTGGTTTGGCGGAAGGAGCTAGTTTGTGTCAACTCAGTTAGGTCTTCACTGTATGGTTTTTTTTCCTTTGTCTACAAAGCATAGTGTACGATGGTTATACAACAAGTCATGCTTGCGTGTGTCGGAGCTCTGGTATGTCGTTCTTTGCACATGTTAGATGGTCTGGCCTGCCGATACCTTGCATGTGTTTAGCGCACGCGTGTAAATTAAGACATTGATATAATTTTCTCTGTTCAGTTTTGGTCTTGTTGAGTCGTTTAGGTTCCCGAAGTTTTCAGCCGGCGTTCGTAGCAACCCCTCGATGCGGACAAGTGATGTCATCTTCTTATGTTGACACCCGGTTCTGACTAAGAAATGTTTATGCCTATGAATTCAGGCGCCAATCACCTGATGGGGCTCATTCCTTCTCCGCACCGCAAGCCAGCACTTATCTTCGTCGCTACAACTTCTCCTGCTTTTTCCAATGCCTGTTGCGCCTATGGTGATTTTCGTGGGTATTCGCATCAGCAGTGCTGTTTCCGTCTATAATTCACTCCAATAGCTGGGTCAAGCCACCATTCCCACTGGATTGTGTGTTTCACTGAGGTGCAAGAGGCAAATCCTCTTTCTTCTCTTATCCTCATTTCTCCTCCACTTTTCCTCTCTCTCTCTCTCTTTCCCTCTGTCTCTACTTTCTAGATTTCTCTCTCTTTCTTCGCCACTAAAACAACCTCTCTATCCAGCGACAAGACCTTCTTCGGAAATTCACAAGAATGTCCACCACACTCCCACCCAATCTCCCAACCGCCGCCGGTGGCTCCTCCACAACGCACGCCAATCCCACAACCACAACCGCAGCCACGGCAACGACCACGACGACGACAACGACAACAACAACAAAAACCCGACAGACGCGCACCAACCCCTCCCGCACCTCCAAGACGCAATCCCGGTCCTCCTTTGCCTTCGGCCACGGCACGACCACCGGCGCTTCTGGGCTCCACCGCTCCTCCGCCGCCGACCACGCCGCGGCCAATGCCACCACCGCCATCCCGCACGGCTTCTACCCGGCGCTCACGCACTTCACGGACGCCATCACGGCGCTGCCGCGGGAGTTCCAGCGGCATAACTCCTTGCTCAAGGAGGTGGACGCCAAGGCGTGGGCGCTGGAGGAGAATCTGTTGCAGTTGCTGAAGGCGAGTGCGGAGGCGCGGCCGGTTCCTTTTTCTGTCTCGGGGTCGGGGTCGGGGTTTTTTGAAAATGGTTCGGGGGATCCGGGGCGGAGTCTTGAGGAGGGGCAGGGGGAGGGGGTGGATGGGTTGGGGTTGGGGATTGGGTCGATGGTATGTTTTTCCCTGTCATTTTCTCTCTGCGTGGCTCCTGCAAAGGAGTCTCATTGAGGTGATTCTGTGTCACGATGCTTATTGAATCGGATCGACGAACAACAGCCCCCCTCGGAATCCCCCGCCAGCAAGAACCGTCGCCTCCTCTTCGACCGTGTCCGGCACACGCTGTCGGATCTGATGATGACCGCCGATGAGAAGAACCATGTCATCTCGAACGCGAACGACGAGCTCGATCGCCAGCTCACCCGGCTCGATGCCGTCTTCCCCTTCATCGCCGGCGAGGTCAGTGACGAGGCCCGCCTGGGCAGCTTGTCGCATTGGGCGTATTCGAATCGCTTGGTGGGTCTTGGTGCCGGTAGCGCAAAGACGGCGGACCGTCCTCGGCGCGATGCGACCGGGTCCGGCAAGACGGAACTGGCGCATGGGCATGGGCATTCACATGGGCATGGGGCCCACGGGCATGGAGCGGGCCATGATGCGGAGGGATCGTCGCGGAGTGAGGCCAGACGCGAGGCGGTTATGGCTAGGAGGCAGCGGCGTGGGGGCGCGGGGGCTGGGCAAGGGCTGGGCCATGTGGATTCGGATTTGGATGATGGAGCGAGGGGATCTGGCGGGGGTGCTGCTGGTGGAGGTGGTGGCGGCAGGAAGGGAGGACAGAGTGGAAAGGCTAGAGGCGGTGCAGGAGGAGCCGCTTCTGGTGGTGGTGCCGGAGGCCAGGCTGGTGAACATGTCGGTGGTGCTGGGCAGGGCGGCAGTACCTCCGGCCAGGCGAAGCGGAGGAAGGTCGAGCGGCCACCGCCTGTGGATACGGGGGCTGCGATGGAGAGGTCGGCGAGCGGCGCAGGTGGTGCTGCAGGTGGTGCTGCAGGCCGGGCTGGCTCCAAGGATGTAGATGCCACTGGTGCTGGCGCTGGCGGTGCCGGGGGTGCAACTAAGAAGAGAGCGCGTGCGCCAAATGCCAACGCGGCTTCACGAAAGAGGTAAGGCTACCAATTTCGTCTGATCATGCAGTTGCAAGAAAAAAAAACAAAGTCTTCTTTGTTGCTGTGGCTATTGTTACACGAGCTGATACTGACTCTTTTGGTGTCAAACAGAAACAACCAAGCCAACTCTGCGGCCGATTCGCCAATCCTCGCCCCTTCGCCTGTTGTCGCTGCAGCCACGATCCCACGCAACGCAGCCAGTCCAGGCCCTGGTGCGGCACGACCGCAGTCTTCCCGTGCGCAGCAGACTGCCGGACAGGCAAACAACGGCCGTCAGCGCCCATCCTCATCCGCCTCCAACCGCGTGGCCGGGAACAGTGAGTTTTCTGCTAGACTCCCAGCTGCGATTGTTGCAATCCCGACTGACATATTCCTGTCACAGACAAAACAACCGAGACAAAGACCGTCATCAAGGAAAGCACAGCCAAACCGGAAGCCACCCCCAGCTCGGCCAACGACACCCCGCGCGAGATGGCCGACGAGGGCGTGGACGTGGCGAAGATACCTGTGCCAGTAAGCACGAAGCGCGAGGACACCGACGGCGGCAAGCCAACGCCATCCATCGAGCCCAGCGAAACACCAGCGCCGCCGCCGGCTACAGCTACTACCGCTGCTCCTGCTGCTCCTGCCTCGGCTCCTGCACCTGCCCCGGTTTCAATCCCGAACCCACCGCCCAAGGGCCGATCTTCCAAGACCTCTACGCCCGTGCTGCCGACCTTCACAGATCCTTCCACCACCGCTGCGGCCGTGGCCGCCACGACAACGACGCAGCGTGTACGCCCCACGCGGAGCACCGATCCCGCTCCCGCCGCCACCACCACAACCACGAAACGCTCGCACAAGAAGAACGGCAGCGTGCCGGTGGTGGTGCCGCCGCGGGCGGTGTCGGAGGAGGAGGAGTCGCTGCACGAGGGCGACGACGAGGACGAGGACGGCGAGCCGCGGTACTGCTACTGCAATGAGATCAGTTTCGGCGAGATGGTGGCGTGTGACAACGATGCCTGCCCGCGCGAGTGGTTCCATCTGTCGTGTGTGGGGTTGACGAAACCGCCTGGCAAGAATGGTATGTCTTTTTTTTTCCTAGGTGCTTGGGTTCAATTCTCGGCTAACATTTTTGGGGACAGTGAAATGGTATTGTAATGAGTGCAAGGATAATATGCGCCGGAGTCGGAGCGGGCGCTGAGAGGAGAGCTGTTTGGGCTGTGGTTGGATGGATGGAGCTGGGTTGGACAGGACTTTCTTTGGATTGGAGTTCCGGGGGAGTCTTATGGATAGATAGAAGTATTTGATATGGTATATACTGTGGAATAGGATTCGTGGTTTAGGTGTATGGTTCTTGGTAGGATGTTAGATCGTTGTATAGACATGGGCTGGCCAGTCTGGTAGGTAGTCTGGGTCGTACGGTTCTGGTAGCAGGAACCCCCTGGCTTAGGATCATGACGGCATAAATCCCGCCGCTTCTTCAACAAATGTCTTCATGGTGTAGTGGTTATCACGTGGGTCTCATATCAACCGAATATGACTTGGAAGCCCTCAACTTCCAGGATATCCCAAGGCCGGGAGTTCGATCCTCCCTGAGGACATCTGTTTTTGCTTTTGCTTGTCTTTGCTGTTTGTGATCCGCGGGTCATCGACTCGGGAGGTTGATCGTGTGCCTCTTCCTGGACTGTACACCCTGCACCTTGACGCTTTGCGAGGCAGCAACTTGAGAAGAGTCTTATTGTATCCCGGAGATAGCTAGTTTAGCACGAAGTCTCATACATGACCCTCACAGAGAATCCCAGATCCAACCCTCATCCCCTCCCAATCCCGCATACCATAATACATTATCACTACATCAAACGGCCACAGAGAGGTTTAGGCTCCCACGCCGCGTCTCAACCGCTGCGCAGCTCCTTCTACCCCCGATCCAGCTGCAGCTCCTGCTCCTCCAGCCCCCGACGACCCCGAAGCAGCAACCACCTCCCCCTCCAACCTGCGCCGCAACTCGTCATACCGCTCGCCCCCGGACCCAGCCGTCGCCTCTCTCCCACCAGCACCACCACCACCAACTCGACTGCTGTTCCGGTCCGCCTGCCCAACCACCCACCCCGGCACCCGCCACCGATACCCGCCCGGCACGAAGAACAGCGGCAGCGCCTCCGTTCGCCACGCCAGCCCGACCCCCCACCCGACCACGGCCGGCAGGAGCAGGTTCGGGAACTGCGAGGCGGCGAGCTGCGCCGCGACGAGGTAGGTGGTCGATTTGTCGGAGAGCGTGATCGCGAGGTTGGCTTTGTTGGTGGGGGGTGGGTCCGTGGGCGCTGCCGCCGATGCCGGAGTAGAGTGATTTGGGGCCGTGGTGGCGGCTGTGGTCGTGGAAAGACAGTACCGCACCGTCTGCGGGATCGACGCGTGATACTGCGCGAGTACCGCGAAGAGCGTGGCGGTTGGGCCGGAGGGCAGCGCGTTCAGCTTCGCGAGGGTGAGCGGCCGCACGATGAGGAGGAGGAGCGGCGGGAGGAGCGTCGTGTAGGGTAAGGTGGTGAGGAGGAAGGTCTATCCCATCATTTTTTGGGGTTGCTGTCAGTATCACTAACCCATTATGGTTTGGGTGGTAACAAAAGCAAAATCAAAAGCTTAAGGGGAGGACGATTATCCAAAGTAGCTGTTGGGGGGGAGGGGGTCAGGTCTGCAGTGCATACCGCCATCTTCCGCGTCCCCCACGCCCGCTCCACCACCCGCAGGTGGTAGGCCAGCATCGCGGCGAACAGCGCCTCCGTCGAGTTGCCGAACCCCGCGACCTGCCACGCCGCCAGCCGCCAGTATTGGCCGTACGGCCACAGGTGCGGCGTGATCTGGAGCGTGGCCAGGTGCTTGATGTCGAGGATCGCGAGCGCCACCGAGGCTGCGATCGTGTAGATGAGCAGGCCCTTGGAGATGGGCGCGTTGGTGAGGCCGGAGGTTAGCATCTTCGTTCGGTGGTGGCCTCGCGGCGGGGATCGTGCGGGGTGTTTTGGAATTTGGCGATTTTCCCGGTTCGCTTCGCTTTCTTGGGAGAGCTTAGAAGGTAGGTAGAGTTAGAGCATGAGGGGTGGTAAAAGTGTTGTTGCGGGTTGGTGTCGCGTGGTCACTTGCGGAGCAGATTGCGGGTTGCGGAAGTGAGGTTTGGCTGACGCATTGATGGATGATGGGCCACGTCGCGCCAATGACGGAGTGCGGGCGGGCCGAGGCTTGGAGGCGTCTCGGCATGCCGATAAGGTAACTTGCTAAGGTAACCTTTGCTTACTTTCAAAGGGGCAGTCAAATAAATACCTAGCTATATTTCACATCATTTTATGTCTAGTTCTATCATACATAGTTCCCTCCAAGTCCAAACTTCACGCGGGAGGCATCTCCTTCATTTCCTCGGCCAACGCGTCCTTATACTTCGTCAGCGCCGTTTCCAATGCGCGGATCGTCGGCCCCAGTAATCGCGTCACGGCCTGCTCCCCGCCAGCGACATTCGCCAGGTTGATCCGCAATTTTTTGCCCGTCGCCTCTAGCACCTCTCGGGCGTGTCGCCGCAGTCGGTTCACTTCCACCTGTCGCTCCGCCTCTGCGTCTTGCTGCACGGCCTTGATGCGGTCCATGGCCCGATTGAGCGATTCGACCAGCGACGCGACCTCCCCGGCACGGTCGGGATTCCCCGACAGAAACGCCTGCCAGAATTGGTGCAGGAATTCGGTCGAGGTCGCGTGCGTCAGCGTGAGTCGATCGTACAGCGCACTCGACAGGCCGAATGTGCCGGAGATCGCTGACACCTCGGTCTGCGTGCGGCGGTCCCGGATGGCCTCGAGAATCTGACTCGATGCACGTTTTAAGTTGGCTCGAGAGCCCACCTGACTAGCCTGCTTCTTTTCATCGTCGTCATCATCTTCCTCCGGTTCCACTAGGCGCCCTATAGGCACTATTCCACCCTCTGGCAGATTCTGATCCACTTCGCCACGCAAGTCGTTTAGGATCCGATTTGGATCCTGCTGAGCAAACAGCCGGCTTTCTTCGTCCTCATCCGTCTTAGACTGCGAAGAGAAGAAGCGACTCTGATCCTTCACATTCAGCAGGATGCGCCGTTGCTCCTCGTCGCCCCGCAGATCCCGCAGCTGTAGCTCGTTATACGTATCATCCTCCGTGTCGCCATTCGCTTGCGGGATCGCATCGGCCGGCGCGACGTTGGCCATAATCTTCTCACTCAGGTTATTCAATGTCCGGATGATCGGGACCTTCTCCACGGAGGACGGCCGCATGTCGAGATCGGGGCGGTTGCCGCGCCGCTGGCTGTGATTGACCTCGTTGCCTGCCAAATCCAAAAAGTGCGGGACCTGCGCATCCCGCAGGTTCCCATGCTCGTCGGCCTTGAGATACTTATCCAAAATCGCATCCGTCGCGTCCGTCTCGGAGATCCGCTCGCCGCGCAGCTTCTTGAACAGCCGGCTCTGGAAGAACCGCGACCAGAACTGCGTCTCGCTCAGCTTGGGCACGTTCTCGTCGTACACCTGCTTCACGAGCGGGTGCTGGTTGAAGATCAGCTGGATTTGCTCCTTGCTGATGTTGAGCTTCGTCACGCTGTCCTCCACCCGCGGCTTGAGCGTCGACAGCACGTTGTAGGAGCCGCGCGTCTGCGACCGCTCGATCGCATGGGCGCGCAGCAGGTGCAGCCGCGTCGACCAGAACTGCTTCATGAACTGGCCCGCGGAGAGCGTCTCGGGCTTGGTGCCCATCGACTCCATGAACATGCGCTGCAGCTGCGGGTTCGACTTGAGCAGCGACTGCTGCAGCTCCATGTCGCCCTGGAGCCGCTTGTCGTCATCCCACGGCTTCTCGTAGCTCCCTCCGGCCGTGATCGCATTCGCCATCGCCATCGCCGCGGAGACGCCTTCGTTGGAGCCTCCGCCGCCGCCGCTACCACCAGCACCAGCAGCTACTACAGGAGGTGTTGGCGCGGCCTGAGCGGCCTTGGCAGCCTGGATGGCCGCGCTCAGCGCATCCTTGATGGCGTCCGCCTCGGCTCGCGCATTCGCTCCGGCTGTGAAGTTGAAGACGTACTGTTCGGGAGTGTTGTCCGCTGCGTTGGGAGGGAGGACGTGGATCTTCAGCATTACTTTTGGGCTAGTCGCGGGGGTCTGCTGTAAGTCTGTACCATTTTGTTCGTCATTTCATTAGTCTTTCTGAGCAAAAAGAAGGAATTGGCAAGAGTCGGTCGCGTTCTAAACAAAGCTGCGAAAAGAACAAAAAAACCCACGCACTCGTTATCTGAGCCACAGAGATGGTGATCGTCCCCGTCGCACCTCCAGCCGCCGGGATCCAGGAGACCGACTGCTGGTCCGGCGACATGGTCAGGGTGCCATCTTTCTTCTTGTACACTGCCGACCCGCTCGGAGGGGCCATCGTCATCGAGCTCGACAGCGTCCACTGTCCTGGGCGGCGTGGAGCGATCCGCCCATCGGGAGGAGACAGTCCCACGGGAGAATCAGAAGGACCGGGGCCTTCAAGACCAAGACGAAGACTGTCTTTCGCGGGGAAACGTAAAGAGAGAAAAAAATCAGAGGTAGAAATTGTGGGAAAAGGTGTGAATCGGCCTACGGCGGGTTGCCGCAATGGATTGATTGCCGTGGATGCACGTGATGATGGAGGTGAGAGGCATGTGACTTGGCTTAGTCATGGGCTGCGCCAGCCCTAGATGTCTGGATCTCAATTGACATTGAGCGTGATGGGTTGCATGGGAGTCTTTGTTCTATTGCGTTGCTCTTGCATTTGACATCACTTATAAGTCTAATGGTGTGGGTCTTATCATGGCTTCATGGGGTGGTATCAACTTCGTAATGATCGAAGCTACTCATCTTGATATATTTATCCGAGCTCTATGCAAACAATAAACCTCTCGAAGTTGAAGCAATATCCTAATAAGGCGTCCCTGCTGCTTCATCACCAGTCACAAATTAATTGCAACAGACTATCGCTTGTCATAGCGTTTCAGAGCCCTCAGAGCGTTAGGCCTGGCAAAGGTACTTTGCAGCTCACAGATCGGAGCGATATTAGACCTGTAGTATTGCATTGTATGCCTGTATGTGTAGCACACCATTAATGATCTCTTACTTATGCAAGATAGTCATTTGAAAGAATCATACGCCGCATGGATTGTCCACACTTGGGAGTCTCAAAGAACTAAGACAAAAGTGATCAGAGATCGATCGCCAAGATGCGCGGTCGCATATACCGAAGTTCCTGGAAACAATCCACCTAGCACTTGCGATGCCCCGAAAATTGTATACTAACTCGCTTATATGGGAGCCGTCTCATTGGTCCACATTCCGAATAAGGTGTGCAGTCATGTGACCTCGCGGTTTGCGGGGACGCGTCGCAGTCTCGCCTGCCCAGTGCCAAACCCTCCGCGTGAGCAGCCTATTGCTAGGTGAAGAAGATATCTTGAATATCCGAAACCCACGGCAAAATGTCCTACTATGATATCGATGCTATCCTAACCGATGCGCAGGTAGGTTGGCGGGGGAAGCCTGGTGTGTTCGTTCCAACATACTGACGAGGGCAAATCTGATGTAGAAACTGCCCTGCACATTTGAGCTCGACGTGCCGGGTCTTGGCATTCTAGAAGGCAATCCAGGAGAGAATGTATAGGCACCGTTTCGGCGTGGATTCCAGCACATTGTCTTTCTTGACTGACCATGCTACCAGATCAAAGCTGGGACTCGTATTGACCTGCCACTTTGGTTGGGGGAGATGCTGTCCATCGGGTAAGCGAATCTGGTGTCTACTATCGCCGTTGATTGTGGATGTTGTCTGATGGGATTGCTCTCAGTGCACGGCTGGGTACCTCGCGACTTGTGACGCTGGATCTCCCATTTGCATTGTCGGATCGTGTCCTGAACGCATTGAAGGCCGATCCGCGGACGGTGGATTTGCGCTCGCTGGCGCCCCATTTCTACAGTCTGAGCGAACGGGTGCTGGAGCTGTTTGAGGAAGAGGAGATGGTGGATGTTCTGAGTAATGTATGACCATAACCCCCCCAAGAGTTCCTTTCGAGAGGGATGAGGTTAACAGGATCGCTCATCATCCGACAGACATTCAAGAAGCGTGCAGCGCAGATCGCCGACCATGCGCACAATCCGCAGGGCGCGTTGGGCCAAGGGGCGGATTTCCTGCGTGGTCTGGACGAGACGGAACGACAGTGTACGTTTGTTGACGGTGTCAATGATGCTACTGCCTGCCTTCGGCTTTCCTTCTTACTGACATTGATTCCACACAGTGTTCCGAGCTACGCATGACAGTGCCAAGGAGACCCGGGTTTGGGCTGGGGAGTCGAAGAAGAAATGAGTGAACGGGTTTGTGAAGATACACTAAAAGAAGGCTGAGCTGTGCTCGCCACCATATTAGAAGCGAGTGTTTTTCTGTTTGTTGTTGTTTTGTCGAGCAATGTGATACGTTATTTCAAGGAAAGTGTTGAAATCAATAGACAAAAGATATAGATCTGATCGCCACTTGTCATCAACTCAAGATTGTATGATCTACGTGCCGGTATAGATTCGATGATATGATCTCTGAAGGCAACCGAGTGAGGATAAGGGGTAAAGCTCGGTCATAGTGGTGGTGCTCAAACCTCGTTCGGGTGGGAAGCCCAACAGTTTTCTGGTACTCACACTTGAAGACCGAAATGATCGAGTTCCCAAGATCTATAAAAATAATGTAAGCGAGGCCGCGGAAGCACAATGCCATGCAGATCCTCGCGACAATTCCAACGCTCCGGAGGCAAACCGCCCAGATGATCTGCTGCGGCTTTGGATCCGTCAGCTGGACAGGTAACTGTAAACTGCCAGTAGGAATGAGCGCGAAAAAGAGCCCCCTGGGAGCGAATCGGGATTTTGGGAACTTTGCGTAATGTGTTCGAAGTTGACCTTGGAACCGGATTCTCGGTTTAGCGAGGTATAGACCACGTTCAGGCTAACCGTGGCATGAACGATGGGACCAAGCCAGTCGACAGCACTGATTGCTGGAGTTGCGCCGTCGACCACGGCACTAAGGATGGGGCTTTGCTGAAGCGTGGGGCAAACCGAGGATGATACATCAATTTTCACAAGACAAACCGGATGAGGCGGGAGAT